AAAGCCGGCACTTTTTCAATTATTTTTATAAAGAAAAGTAAAAAAAAAAAAAATTAAAAAAATAAATTATTAATTTTCTTTTCCATAAGAATCCAAATTATGAGTCACCATTTTTTATATTTCAATATAGAAAAAAATAAAATAGTGCGACTGGATGCCCGGCCTTATCCATATATATTAATATCAGTTTCTCTCTTTTACAAGAACGACTGTCTCGTGAACCGGCTCGAACTCGTGGGCTTAAATTCTAGCTCGATGGAATTAATCAAGCTCAAGCTCAAGCTTAGTAAGACCCGAGCTCGACTCTGCTCTTTACACCCATAATGTAATTATCCCTAAAAAAATGGGCATTTGCATATATACCATTGAATTTTTATGTATTAAACTAAATTTTATTTTTTTTTTTTTTAGATCTCTCAAATCTCTTATCACATTAAAAATATTATTATTTTAACTTTAAAAAATGAAATATATTTTTGTATGCATCGGAGTTGGTGTGTACGTATGTATGTATATATGAAAAGAAAATGGTCATAGGCTATTATACGAGTCTCCTACCACACGTAATATGTCTAACAATTCGAGTACCACCCTGTATAAAGCAGCAGTCACTAGAGGGGGATTCGCACCCCCAACCTCAGGAGACTTACTACTGACTCGTAGCTGTCAACCAATAAGTCGGGGTACGCGACCCATCTAAATACATAGAAACCGAGTGATATATATGTAAATCTTTCTAATGAAAATAGTGGCCTTATAATTTTTTTCTTAAGATCTTTTCTTGTAAACTCTATACAAAAAAAATGCCAAAGTAGATTTCTATGGCAGGCAGGCTTAATCGGTAATTTCCAAAGCTATATTAAAATCAAATTCACCTAATTTATTTATAAAAGCTATGAGATTAATTTCTAGAGTTTATTAGACCATAAGGAAATGATGATTGCAATTTGGTGTGATTTGGGAATGCCATGGTCATCTTAGACCTTTTCAAAACTCCCTCAATCTATTTAATTATTTTTTAAAATCTATATTTATGATTGATTTGAAGACTAGTCTAAGCATCTTTGAATTCTTAAGGAGCTACTTATTTTAGTTTTTGCATCTTTAAATAGGTGGGCTCTTCAATTTTAAAAAGCAATCTAAACTAAAAAAAAAAAAATTAAAATATTCATTTGACTATCCAAAACTAGAAAACCATTCATGATGAAACCTTCAACCAACATAAGTTTCTTCATAAAAGTGCATGTACAATTTTCAATTCAAGGAAAATTTATGAGAGCTTTGTTTCTGTTCATTTTTCTCTTTTTTTTTTTTAAAGGAGTTACCAGTTTGTCAATCGTCGTATACTTCTCTCATTCGAATAAATCTCTCCCGAACCATATAAATGATTCGAAGAGAAGAGGAACGGAATAAGAAGGGACATACGACAAAGTGACAAACAAGAGAAAAAAGTAAAATGTGGAGAGTCTACGTGCGATAAACCTCGCAAGGATAGGTCAAGAATGTCCGCCCAAACAAGATCAAGCGGAGGCACCTTAAACCAATATCCGCGAAAGAAACATCTACGTAGACTACCCATAACCAGAGAAACAGGTGTATGTACCTGTTCTGGGGTCAAGAGCACTCCCAGAGGAACGTGTTCCTACTGGTTAATTACATCTTGGGGGATACCCAAGAATACTCTCGATAAAAGGAGTTTCGCTTCATATTATCATAAACATGGGGTATAGGCAACCAAAGGAAGGTTATTCTGTGTGGGAACAGTCCCAATGTTTCAAAGCTCACGCTAAGCAACCGGGCAGAGAATGAGTTTCTCACATCCTGAAATGGGTAGAGGCTCATCGGCACATGGGGCCCACGGAATAACCTAAATCATCTTGACGGGGATATCCCAATACGTCAAAGCACGTCCGGGTTAAAGGGCAGAAGACAAATCGTCGTATGCTAAATGGGCGGCAGCTCATCGACATCGAGCCGTCAAGGTGCTATCAACGAGGTCAAGGAGTGATAGGGCTCAAAGGGGCTCAACAAAAAAAAGAAGGTAGAGTGATCCTAAAAGGTAGAGGTAACTGGGTCAGGGTACCACGGACCCATCATACACAGCTACCAGGACCCTAAGTCTACCTGATCGTGAAGGTAGTCGACCCAACACAACCTGAGATCCCCAGTCAACAATCTGTGAATTGCACCATCCACCGGAATCTCGGTAGCCCTAAGGTCAAAGGAAGGAAACTCTATCGTATGACTACAAGTTAGAGCTCCAAGAGGTGGGACTTATACCTACTGAAATAGCAAGGATGCCTCAGTGATGTTTCAGGAAAGAAAGAGAAGTGGAGGTTCAGCTACAAAGCTGAAAACACTCCAAACAAAAGGACTTATACCCCGTCTGGGTCGGGAAGCCTTCTAACAAAGCCTTCTAACAACTACTCTGCTAGGCCAACTAAACAACCGCCTATGAAAGGGTATGCTGAGTCAATCAGGTTGGAAAAGTACGGGGACTCCTCCTCGTGACATGCAAATATGGATGCAATTATCTAGAGCGATCCTAAATATTGTGGAGGCCCTATTAATATATGCAGGAAAGTAAAAGTTACAATTTTTAAATCCTGAATATTTTAATCCTAAATTTTAAT